AGGGAGCCCGATGCGGGACTCGATCCAGGGACTCCAGGATCATGACCTGAGCCGAAGGCAGTCGCTTAACCAACTGAGCCACCCAGGCGCCCTAGAGCCTACATTTTAATACATATTAGTAAGTTTACATACTGGGTATGTATAATCAAAATTCCTTTACTTAGAGGGATACACAATCATAGAAGCTTGGACACCACTGCTCTGTAGGACAGAAGCCCTAAAATAGGTTGAGTGGAAATAATGACCCTTCCCGTCCCCCTCAAGGCTTCTGACTGCCTATTGCACTGTCCTCACAACACTCCGGGGTTCCAGAGTTGTAACAAATGAAAAAGCTCTGCAAAAAACTCTTCATCCATTTATTAAGCTCTATGGAAAAGACACATGTTTACACATTTCATCCGTTTCTCATTGTGAAATGCACCTTCTTTACAATGTAACAGATGTTCTTTATCACAGGGCCAGATGTTCTTTATCACAGTGTTGACACAACCCATAGGGCGGCTGCCCTGTCACAGACTGATTGCTCCTCAGACCACGAGACAACCCCTAAGTGACCATTAGGGTCCCAGAGCTGTGACTCGGCTCTGCTCAGAGAAGACCTTTAGACCATCACAGGCTGGCTGACGGATGAGCGCTACACATTTGCAAAGCACGCCTCTTTTTTATTCCACAATATGTGCACCTGTGTAACTTCATTCAAATACTAAATCGTTGCTACTTCTTATTCAACTCTTTTTCTCCAGCTACGAGTGTGTATGTTTACTGGGACGGAGGGGTGTGTGTGGTAGGGGAACAAAGCCTGGGAATCGTTTTTGATCCTTTTTGTTTTAAAATCTAGAGCTGGCTTGATGAGGGTTTATGGGCAGTTTGCCCTCCAAAATTTCCCGGTCCTTTTTGGGTTTCCATCTTCTCCAGAGAGAGCTTGCTAAGAAGTATCCATTTATTTTTTCGAGCGAATGAGCGCTGCCCAGGTGCCACGTACCTTAGGAACTCCACTGCTACTGAGCTGGCCCCTCCCTGCCCTGGTTCTCTGCCGCTTGATGTCAGACCCTGGGTGGTGCATTCTCCATACTCCCCATGGGGCTTGGCACGGGGCTGGCCCCAGGAGGCAGACTGTGAAACATGTGGGAAAAAAGAAATGAATCCTCCTTGGAGGAGCTGGGGCTTGGGGTTAGGGATGTCTCTTAAGGCTCCGGCCAAGGATGCTGGTCTAGCTTCCTGCGGCCTGACACCTGAGACCTGCCCCGCCCCACGCATCGCCCCGCCCACCGCCGCCCCGCCCCGAGAAGGCAGAGCCTCGCCCCTCTGCAGTGCCGACTGCTGGTCTCTTGGGCGAGGGCGTTCTCCCTTCTCCCTTCTCCCTTCTCCCTTCTCCGTTCAGCAAAGTACCGGTTGTTCTGGTGCTTATCATGTGGGTCCCGCCCCAGGGCTTCCTCACCGTCACAGCTGCCCGGACCTAGCCAGCCCTCTTGACCCAGGGCTGCTGCCGGCACCCATGAGCCGCTCAGGCCTCTAGGGGAGCTTGGTCCCAGGACCAGTGCTTTGGGGTCAGTGACCTTCGTGCCAAATCATTGGTCTGCCGCTATTATAAACCACTGGTTGGTGCCCTTGGTTGCTGAGACAGGGACAATGGTAGGCAGGCCTGGACGGCTCCCGACTACTGCCCACCCCCCGTGAGGGTCTGAGCATGTGGATTCCCTGAGTAAGTTCAATCAGAAATCTCTTGGGCTCATCACAAATCAAACACTGGACGGGTGGCCTGCCCCCAAAATGCTCGTGTGTGTGTGTGTGTGTGTGTGTGTGTTGGGGTGGGGGTGGGAGGGACAGAGTATGGGAAGGAACGGTGGAAGGCAGTTAACATTATTGAGCACCTACTCTGTGGCAGACACTGATGGGCGCTTTACATGGTCATTAGCGGCAAAGCTGTGTCGTCACAATAAATTTACTTCTGTTCTGTGTGCCTAATAAAGCCACACATTTATAGAGCACCTTTCCTTCCTTCAGAGTACTTCTATGCCTTTGCCTCTTTCAATCTTCACAACACCCTGGTGTTACAGACGAGGAAACAGGCAGGGACCAAGCAATGTGCCACTAGTTAAGGGCCGGCCCGCGGCAGGCTCCTCACCCCTCACCTCTGCACCGCCCCCAGTGCCTTGCTTGACCATGTCTGGTCGCAGAACAGCCCTCTGGTAGTTGCCAATACCCAATCATCCCCGTTCCAGTTTGTAAGTTCCTTCAAGGCAGAGATTATACTCTTTTTCTTGCCTCTTGCCCGTGGTGCTCAATGCTGTGTAAACAGCAAGTGCCAGCTAAGTGCTCACCGAGTTCTTTTTTGGCACAGACCGTCTTTTCCATGGGCCCGGGAAGTGATGGAATCCTGGTCTCTGGGTTCTTACCAGGGATCCCTCAGAGTTAAACCTTCATTAATCTCAGGAATCATCCTCCAGAGTCCCAGCTGGGTAGATTTAAGGGACCTAAGGCAAAACCCCAGCCAGGTCCCCCCATGCACTCAGCCGGGGCACCAGAGTTGGGGTGGCCATTCTCCCGGAGGTCTGAGCCGGCATGCTGCAGCAGGGCGGGACACCACGTGGGAGGGAAGCTCAGTCACTCCTGTCCCCAGGCCCCCTCCACTCCCGGGAGGATGCAGACTGGTCCAGGGGTGGCAGCAGATGAGAACAATAATACTGTCATGTGTATGGAGCCCTTGGCTGTGCGTGAGGTCACCCCATCCTCACGGCCTGGCTCACTGCAGCTTGGGCAGGGCAGCAGTGATGCTCCTGGGTTTACCCAGAGACGCGGACTTATTGCCTGAGGTCACACCCATGGCATGGCTTCCATTCCTTCCCGGGCACATCCTGAAGCGCCACTGTCCCTCCGGCCCGGCACACAGGAGCAGGGGTCCAGGGGGCGCCCCCTCACTGGCTGTTGTCCACCCACTCTGGCAGTCTGTGGATCTGGAGCTCCACGGAGATGGAGGTCCGGAGCGTGCCCATGGAGTTCTCCATCTTGCTGGACTCCAGCACGCAGCCCCCTTTCTGGCACAGTCTCTGGAACACCTCCCGGGACTTCTTGCGGAAGCGCTTGCCCACGATCACGTACATCAGCGGGTTGAGGCAGCTGTTACTGTAGCCCACGTAAGAGGCGATCTGCGTGAAGACGTCGACCATGTACTCGTCCCAGCAGCCGGACAGGATGTTAAGGCGCAGCAGCGTGTCCAGGATGGTGCTGATCTGGAAGGGCAGCCAGCAGATGACAAACAGCCCCAGCACGGCTAGGACCAGCACCATGGCCTTCCTCTCTGTCTGGATCTCCTTGAACTTCTGCATCTCATTGTTCCGCAGCACCTGCATGATCTGCACTGTGCAGAAGGTGATGATGGTCAAGGGCAACAGAAAGCCCACGACGTTCAGGAGGATGTTGGTGAACACTTCCCAGGTGCGGGACGGGTAGTTGATGATGCAGGCAGTGACGTTGTGGCCCTCCTCTCTGTACTCCCTCATGGTCCGGAAGGCCAGCATGGGCGAACTCAGGAGCAGTGTGCACCCCCAGATCACCAGGCTATAGAGCTTGGCCCAGCGCACCCCGCGCATCCGGCCCACGGACATGGTCTTCACCAGGGCCAGGTAGCGGTCGATGCTCACCAGCATGAGGAAGCAGATGCTGCTGTAGAGATTCATGTAGACCATGGTGTTCACCACACGGCAGAGGACCTCCCCAAAAAGCCAGTTGAAGTTGTTGGCGATGGTGATGGCCCAGAAGGGCAGCCCGCAGGCCAGGATCAGGTCCGCCACGGCCAGGTTGCCCAGGTAGATCTCGGCCACCGTGCAGCTACTCTTGTGCAGGCAGAAGATGCTGAGGACGAAGGTGTTCTCCAGGGCTGCCAGCACGAACAGGACCCAGAGGAAGGGGGCCTGGGTGGTGTTGAGCCAGTTCCACCAGTCAGAGTAGACACAGGTGCTGGTCACGGTCCTGTTGAGGGTGGGCATGAGGACTTGCGAGGTGATGTTGAGCATTTCTGTGCTGAAAGAAAGTGGAAAAGAAGCTGTTACACCTCAAGTCACAAGAGGCAGGAGAAACAGCTGATGCAGAAGGAAGGGGGCGATCAGCAGGCAGCTTCCAGAAGCGAGGTCGGGAGTGGCACTCAGGCCCTTTCTGCCACACGCTGAGACTTGGGTCCGGGCACCCCAGACTCCCCGGGGTCTTTAAGAGGTACCCCGTCTCCTTGGGCTAGGCCGAGAGCTCATGGTCTTTGCCTCGTGGTTCCCCTGGGGTGTTTCCTTGGCCAGCGTCCATCACCAGTACTGACAATCACAGTCTTGGACCCTGGACCTCCTCGAAGCTTCTGTGATAGGAGGATATGTGCACATTCCTCATTCCTTCCTTATCGCATGGACCCCTCCCAAGGGAGCTGGTCATCTTTCAGCCTCTCATGGCCTGGTCTTGGTGAGTAATTGATTAGAGGGGAAGAAAGATATCATGCCAGACAAGGAGATTCCAGCCTGGCTCCGAGACCGCAGTCCATCTGCCCACACTCTGTCTCCTTCTGGCAGAAGGCAGCATTGCGCTTCCAGAACCCTCATCAGCAAAGTATTGATGATAATCAGAGGTTGCATGATGGAAAGGGGGGGCAGGGGCTTTGGAACCTGGTAGTCTTCCTGAGTTCAAATCCCAGCTCATTCATTAGCTGTGTGACCTTGGGCAAGTTAATGAACCTCTCTGGACCTCAATGACCTACCTTGTAAAATGGAAATAACAAAATCTACTTCTCAGGGTTGTGGTGGGAATCCAAGGCAGTGTGCAAAAAGCCCCAACCTCTGCACTTGGTTCAATAAACATGAATAATTTTCTATTTTTGTGGTTATTAAACTACCAACAACACTCTCCTTGCTCCTGTGTTAGTGAGGTTATAATTAACCCACTGATTCCTCTTTCACTCTTGGGTGAGACTCAGACCATGGGGCAGTTCATTTTCTAGAAGTGTCGCCGTTAAGGCTAATTCATCTCTACCTTCAGCAAAGAGGCATGGGGCTTGGACACATATGGGTTCCAATCCTAGCTGTGTGGTCTTGGGCAAACTGCTTGACCTCTCTGAGCTTCCATTCTGTTTCCTTTGGTGTAGAGTATTACTCTCTTCTTGACTTGCTTTGCATGGCCGTTGCAAGGTTCGAATCAAAGAGTGGGTATGAAGATACATTGAAAGCAGAAAGCACAACCCAGAGGGCAGGCCTGAGTGGACATTTTCCTAGTGCCCTGTGGGCTGGGGGAGGGAAGGTGGCGCTAGAGGGGCTCTTTCTGGGAGGGCGATTCCTTCCTGGGCAGGCTCGTAGGGGAGGAATTGAGCCACAGTTCATGGGAAAGGATCTGCTGTTCACCTCTGCGATTTCCTAGGAAAAACCCCCTCTACTTCCAGGAGTAGCTGGTTGGTTTTCAGTGGCCAGACTGGGCACCTGTGACTAACTTATTCATCAATGCATTTATCTTTTAAATGTGCCTTGAGCTTCTCCGTGCTGAGCTCCGTGTGGCTGTAGGGACCCAGAGGCGAGTACTGCGTGTCCCCTGCCCTGCCCAAGCTCCCAAGTGTGATGAATGCCATGGGGTGGAAGGAAGGGCATGGGGCACAGAATTGGGGGGTGGGGGGAGAAGGTTGGAGGTGACTCTGGAGCTGGGTCTCCAAGGATGAGGAACATGTCAATGGAGAGCAAGCAGGAACGGCGTCATACGGTGACAGATGGCAACTGCACTTGCGGTGAGCACAGCGTAATGTATAGAGAAGTTGCATCACTGTGTTTTACACCTGAAACCAAGGTAGCATTGTGTGTCAACTGTACTCAAATAAGAAAATTAAAAAATAAAACAAACACACATAGCAACAAAAACAAAGGAGAGGGGACAGACCAGGCAGAGGGAGCAGCCTGAGCGGAGTTGCAGAGTGGAGAAGCCTCTGGCATGTTCTGGAAGGCGGACTAGATGTTGGACAAGGAGGCGGGAAGTGGCAGGAGATGGGATGAATAAGGGAAAAAGGACAGTCATCACTGGCTGCTAAGAAACTGAGGCTTTATCCCTGAGGGCTTCAAGGAGGGAGTGATGGAATAGAAAAAACACCCTAGAAAGATCCTTCTGGTGGAGTGGTGGTTTTAGCATGTCCAACAATTCTGTGCTACCCTTCCCTTCAAAAGGTACAGTCTAGCTCCTCTCCTAGTGAATGTGGCCAGACTTAGTGATTTGCTTCCCACTCATGGTGTGACAGTGTGTGACTCCCGCGGCCAGTCCTAAAACGCATTGCAGGGGCTCCTGTGCGGGGCAGTCGGTTAAGCGTCTGACTCTTGGTTTCGGCTCAGGTCGTGATCCCAGGGTGCTGAGATTGAGCCCGCAGTCAGGCTCCAAGCTCAGCACTGAATCTGCTTGAGATTCTCTCTCCCTCTTCCTCTGCTCCTCTCCACCATGGCCCCCCCCACCGGCCCCCGAACTCTCTCTCTCTAAAGTAAATAAATCTTAAAAAAACAAACAAACCCGCAATGCAGCTTCCTCCTTGGCCTCTTGGGTTGCTCTCTGCGGGGGAAGCTGGCTGCCATGTTGTGAGGGCACTCAGGCAGCCACGTGGAGAGGAACCAACTTGCCACTTGGAAGCAGATCTTCTGGTCCCAGTTAAGCCTTTGGTTGATCCTGGCGCCCTAGCCTTTGAGTATTCCAGCTGAGGCCCCAGGCATCATGGAACAGAGACAAGCCATCCCCATTGAGCCCTAAGTTCCTTTGGCCCCGTTTCTGTAGCTACAGAAAACCCACTTCCTCCGTGCCCCAGGCTCAGGGTCTGGCTCTCTAGAGACTGAAGTATGGCACCAGCTGCTGCTTGTTCACTTCCCAGCAATATGGTCCCTCACCAACGGGATGGCCCCGGGCCCCTAGTTTAGCTCTGAGAAGCCACGGGGTCGTCCGAGGGGGCCTGGGGATTGCGTAACTAGGGGTCACGTGCCCCGTGGCTGTCTGGTCATCGGCATAGTAGGCTGCACCCCCCACAGGGCTGAGAGGCTGGGCTGGGCCCTTCTCCCTTTTGTCGGGCCGGCACTGCCCCCTGAGGACCGACCCTCCCTTTCCTCTGCTTCCACTCGGGATCAGATCTCCCCACATTCTCTCTTTAGAGTGACTTGGCCTTCCACCAGATGTCAGATGTGTGTTGGAGACTTCCAGTCTCTATGGTGACCTGGCACATCTCTGTCTGATTCCTTGGGTGTGGACGTCAGAATGTCACTCTCTTCATTTCCAAGTTCATTTGGGATAGCTCGCACGTGACCACTGGTCCTGCGTCTTCCTCTGGCATCCCTATGCCCCGCCAAACCCCACAGAACACTCCACTCCCTCTGCTCCCACCAGGCCCATGGGGATTTGAACAGTGGCCTCACCAGCCCCTGAGAGTTTTCGTCTGTGGATTCGACCTCTCCTGTTGCTTCAGCTGTTGTCCAGGAGGTGAGGGTCATGTTCTCCAGGTCTTCTCCAGGCTGTCTGGCCCTCTCCTGTGAGGAGTAAACCAAGGAACTCTTTTGACTTACCCGAAAGAGGCCGTGGTGGGCACAGGGTCGTTATGAAAAGACAGGAACATTGATCTTTGCCACGTGGAGAACATTTGGACTCAGAGTGGGATGTAAGTGAGGCTCCTGGGCTGACTGGGGGAGAAAAGACAGTTAGATGGTGGCTGGGGACCATAAAACCCACGTACTCTCCACCAGGGAAGGGAACTGGAGTCCTTCACTTAACAAATGTTTATTAAGCAGCTATGGCATACGGGGTGCTAGGGACCTAAGGGTACAATGTCCTGTCCTCCAGGAGCATACGGTCCAAAGGATTAGCTACATGCTACTGAATTAGTCACTAATTAATTGAAAACTGGCATAAATGCTATGAAATGAAGATCCCATGACAGGATGTAACACGGAGTCCTAAACCAGCCTGGTGTGGGGGATGAATGGATATTTATTTTGAGACCTGAGGGTACGTAGGAGGAAACTGGATAAAAGGATGATGGTGGAGAGGAGGATGTTTGGGTGGAAAGAGCAGCAGGTGCAAAGGCCCTGAGGCAGGGAGAAGCTTGCTGTGGATATGTGTTAGGCCCTGGTGGCTGCTGGGGGAAGGAGGGGACAGGACTGTGGCAGGGGCAGCGTGGAGGCAGGGAGACTGATTAGCTGGTTCTGCCCGTTCATCTGGGAGCAGGATGATGGAGGCTGGAGAGGATGAATCCCAGGGGTGTTTAGAGAGGAAAGCTGACATGCCTGGTGTAAGATGCTTCTGAAACTCACAGGTGGGAGTGTAAGTAGCTGTTGGGCCCTGAGTGGGTCCGGAGCTCAGGGGAGAGGCCTGGGCTGGAGGGTCCCCAGGGCTTCGAGCCTAAGGAGAAAGGCCGCTGGGGACGAGCAGTTCCAACCCATTTTGGTGGTTCCTGCTCTAGTGTGCTCTCAAGTTCTGAGAAATGTGAGCCTTTCTGCCCAGCGGCGCTCTGCTGACAAAGCCTCTCTCCATCCCTCTTCCCTTTCCTCTGTGTGGCTGATCCCTGCGCAGCCCAGCTTGGAACCGCCAGCGGTCCACGCATGTGGATGTTTTCCAGTAAATACGGTACCGCCCTGTAAATGTAATTTCTCTTCCTGATGCTGTTCTCCCTTTATTGTAAGAGGATACTATATAATACATATAACATACAACCTCTCTGTTAACCGGCTGTTCATGTTATCAGGAAGGCTTTGGGTCCACGGTAAGCTATCAGCAGTTAAGTTTGGGGGAAGTAAAAAATTAGATGCAGATTTATGACAGGGAGGGGTGTCGGCACCCCTAACCCCCGCTTTGTTCAAGGATCCACTGTACTCCCATCCGGGGAGGGAGGCATCAGCTGTGGGCTTGCCTTGCAGAGGAGGTGGGGTGCAGAGACTCCTCCAAGTGCCATTGCCGACCAGACCTGGGGGTGAGGGCTTAGACCCCCGCCTTCTTGTCCAGACCTTGAGCTCGCTCCCCCATCTCATGGGACTTCTTGCTCCTGTCCCCCCCATCTCACGGGGCCTCTTGCTTCTGTCCGGGAAGGGAGTGAATAGCTGGGTGCCTGGGTGCACGTGCTTGTAGATGCGTGTAGCCGTGGGTCTGCCCAGCCCCAGGTTCCAGCCACTTAGCGAGATCAGCCTGTGCAAAGAGCAGGCACACAGGCTTCTAGAAGCCAGCTCTCCGAGTTTAGTTGTGGGGAGTGGAGGTAAGGCAGCGGACAATTCAGGAAATACGAGAGCACATTAGAAAAAGAAGAGACTGAGTTGGTAAGCAGGAAATGAGGCAGAAGATAGTTAACATCTGGAAAAGGTTTAGCAGAACCCCTAAGCTGAGCTGAGGTCAGGATTTGGAACTTGGAGCAACAGGGAGCAAAGTGCTGCTGATCCTTCAAGGAGTGGGATCTGGGGAAGGGAAGAAAGTCCTTGTAGATTGCCTTTTTGGGAGGCCCTCCCTGGCCCCTAAGAAGAAAATTCAACTGGAGGTCAGAGGTCATGTATTCGAATCATTCATTCCTCCGTGCTACTTGCTGAGAAAGAGCAAGGTGACCTTCCTCTGCCCCGTGGGGTTCCCTCTCCTGCTGAGGGACCTCAGCCTGCCCGCAGGCCTCTCTTTTCCACAGGGACAGTGACAGGTGCACAGGTGACCCAGGGCCTCCCACTCCGTCACCCTGGGGAGTGCCCAGCGTTTCCTCACTGCCCTCCCTTGTGTCTGCCTGCTGGGGTGTTCCTGGATCTGGCTGGCAGATCCTAATTGCTGGCTAATG